AGTTCACCCAGCACCTAACACATTTATAATTTTGTATCCTTGAAGAGAAATTTCAGCCCCAATATTGTTCCAATCAGAAAAATACAGTGACTTGAGTAACATCAATGATTCTATCACACTGAAAGGGAAGGACTATCTGTGTTAAGTTAAAATATACATAAGACTGAGAACAGAAAAATATCAAGTAAAAGTGGGCATGGTAGTATATAGCTACAATCCCAGCTACTTGGGAGGAGAGGCAGGATATCCAGAGTTCAAGGCCAGCTCAGGCAAAGTTTGTTAAATCCTATCTCAAAACCAAAATACAGAAAGGTAGGAGGCATGGCTTAAGTGGTAGAACACTTGCTAAACGAGCAAAAGGCCCTGGGTTCAATCCCAGATGACAGAAAAATAAATAAATAAATGCTTTTCTTAGGAATGCAAGAAGTATTATCTGCTCTACAATCCTAAAGACAGAAGTGTAGCTAGTAGCAAAAGGGATTAGCCTACAGAATAGCAAACTGTTAACTGTTTTTGGTTTAAAACAAAAGATATTTCTAGAATATAAATAAGGCTTTTGTAGAAGGGTTGATAGTGGAAGACCATGTTTTTGTAAAAAAAAAAAAAGCTGAAAGGGCTCAGTGTAAGTGCTTGCCTACAAGGTCCTAGGCACTATGAGAAAATAAAACAAAAAAGTTACAGGGTCTGAAAAATTATTACATTAGACTGTATCAAATTGATGATAATCTTATTAATAACAGAGAAGTAAAATCATTCTCAAATCCAAAGGAATACACTGTCATTGCAAAACGCAAAACTTTCCAAGGCATATGGATAGCTTTCAAAATTAAACTCAGAATTTTTAAAAGCTAAGTGGACTTTACGTGGCTCAACATTCTACCCTTTCTAGAGAATATATACATTTTAAAATTAATTTTGTAGGCTCTTGATCCAATTGCTCAACTTGAAAAAAAAAATCACACATGGCAAAAGATCTATGCTCTACCATAGAGCATAATGAATTTATGTCTTTTCAAAGTTTTAAATTATAGTAACTGAAAATCACATTTTGACAGGATGTCAAAATGTCTACCTGCTTTAAAACATAAAAGATACTAATACTATATGATATTAAGATTTTACTATTTAAAGCAATATTAGAGAATTAAAAGCTGTTACTTAAAGAGCATACATCAAATTTTTTATAGCATATTACAAACAAAAAAAATTCAGGCTGGCTCAAGTGGTTAAGAGCCAGTCTAGCAAGCATGAGGCCCTTAGTTCAAACACCAGAACAGATAAAAAGAAAAAAAAAAAAAAATCAGCAATACTAAAAACCAGAATCTGTGTAGTCTTTAAATGGAGATGAAATATTTCTTAAGATTATGCTAAGAATTAAATGAATAATATATGTAAAACACTTAGCAAGACCAGCACAAATTAAGTACTTTCATGTCAGTTATCATGCTTATTATTATAGAAAAGGTATTAAGATACAGAAACTCTGTATTAAGATAAAGTGTCCTTTTTTTTTTTTAAATGGTACTGGGGTATGAACTCAGGACCTCATTCTTGCTAGATAGGTAGGTACTCTACCCCTTGAGCCACTTCCCTAGGCTTTTTCGCCTAGAAAGGAGTTTAAACTTTTTGCCTGGGGCTGGCCTACATATGATCCTTCTACCTACAACTCCCCTCTCTCATAGCTGGGATTACAAACATGTCCTACCATGCCCAATTGTTTGCTGAGAATGGGTCTTGTTAACTTTTTGCCTGGGTTGGCCTTGAACTGTGATCTTCACAATCTCTGCCTCCTGGTTAGCAAGTTCTAAGTGAGCGACTGGCCCAAGTATTTTAAAACCTATTAGCAAAATCTAAAAAAGCGTATGGATAGAATCATAGTCAAATATCTAGACTGGCAAATTCAATGAATAAAGGAAATTTTGATATATTTATCTTTGTACAGAACTTTGCACAAATAGTTGTTTGGAAAGTTGTTTATTGAAATGAAGTGAGCATGAAAGTTATCTGATAAGAAAAAAAAAAGGCAGTATGAGATCATGTAAAAAATAAATCAGAGGAGAGAAATATAATAGTGAAGCATTGAATGATGACCCTAAGGCTGGTCTGTAAGAACACTGAGCCTGCTCTCAAACCCTTTTTGGCAAATGTGTTATACATAAAGTCAACTTTTTTTTTTTTTGGTATGGAGGTTGAATTTAGGGTCTCAAGCTTGTCAAGCAGGCACTCTATCACTTGAGCCACACCCCTGTTCTTTTTGTGTTAGTTATTTTTGGGACAAGGTCTCATGTTTTCACCTGAGCAGGCTATACCAAGATCTCCCTGCTTATGCTTCTCACATAGCTGAGATGCCAGGCCCACTCTATCACACCCAGGGATTGGTTGAAATGGATGGGGTCTCACTTTTTGCCTAGGCTGGTCTCAAATCATGATCTTCCTGAGTTGCTGGGATAATAGGAATAATCCACCACAACCAGCCTAAAGTTTAATATTTGAACAAAGTATTTTAAAATTTAACCTAAATAAATATGTGCATCCTCAAAGGGGAAAAAATTTTACCCAAAGCATCAAGGAATCTTTTCTAACTTCCATTCATTGAGAATCAGATAAACTTAACTCATACTTCTTCCATCTACTCTGCATAGACAGACAGACATGAAAATCAGCTTGAACATTTACCTACAAATAAGTTGTAAATACATGGTTCACTTTCACAAGTTTGAGTACACACCCATATATAGAAGAAGAAAGACAACTCTCTCAGAAGTAGGCAGTGCCACAGGAGTAGCTAACAAAACTTACCTCCCATGTCTCAGCAGTACCTGTTACAGCCTTTGCTGAGATAGTCTGCATGAATTCAGGACTTTTTCACATTATAAACTCAAAATTCTCAGCGTTATGGATGATGGAACAAATGGTATAGAAAATGTGGTCTTTTCTTTCACACCCTAACCAAGGATAAAAGGAACTAATGATTGTTTATAAAAAGATTTCTCCAAGCTACTGTCCATCAATCATTCAGAAGCTGATCAACTTTAAAGAAAACAAAAGCCACACCCTTCATAATCCACTCAACTCTGCCCACTGCTCGGCTTCTTTGCCAAGTAAAGTACATTTCCAGAGAGATAGCTGGAGCTAATTTCCTGATCCTGCATCAAACTAAAATCTGTGAAATGCAAGGTTACAAATTAAACAGCGTATCAACTGTTAAAAGAAGGTTTTGGGAGGGGGGGGATAAACATTAAATACATCTATCTTTCTTAACGAAATAACAATGTTTTAATCACTAATGCTACCAAACTACATTATACAGTTTACTGACTAAAAAATGAGCCTACAATGTACAGAGTAATATTATTCTTAAGTTAGTTCCTTTCTGTGGTGTCTTGAAAAGTAGTAAACGCATGAGGGCACATGACAGCTAATATCCACTGACAACATAAAAATTATATCTTATTCTAATTTCTGGAAAGTTCTGTAGTAGCAACTTAAAAAAGCAAACCAAATTTTAATGAAAAGAAAATCTAGTCAAAAATCTGAAAATTCACATTGAAGATATTTACAATAAAATTTTAAACTAAGCAGGAAGAACATAGCCACAAACATGTTTAACATCTGGGGGTGGTTGATACAAATTAGTAAAAGCAGTTTCTCTGAGATTAAGAATTAGAAACCTAAAAAACTAGCTAGCATTTGTTGCCCTTAACGCAGAGAAACTAAAGCAGATACCTTAAAAGCAACTGAGGCCAATAGGAAAAGGGGACCAGGTACTAGAGAAAAGGTTAGATCAAAAAGAATTAACCTAGAAGGTAACACACACTCACAGGAAATCAATGTGAGTCAATGCCCTGTATAGCTATCCTTATCTCAACCAGCAAAACCCCTTGTTCCTTCCTATTATTGCTTATACTCTCTCTACAACAAAATTAGAGATAAGGGCAAAATAGTTTCTGCTGGGTATTGAGGGGGGGGAGCGGGAGGGGGTGGAGTGGGTGGTAAGGGAGGGGGTGGGGGCAGGGGGGAGAAATGAACCAAGCCTTGTATGCACATATGAATAATAAAAGAAAAATGAGAAAAAAAAGAATTAGAAACATCTTACAAAAATGCAATCTGACATCTTTAAAAATCACTTTAATATTAAAAAATTTTAAACCACTATTATGACTCCTTGCAAAAGCTTTCAAAAGAAGGGTTTTCATGTCACATTCATACAGTCACACATGTAAATTAAGAACTGTAAATCAGAACACTAAAAATTACCTAAAGGTACCCAAAACACACTATTTGAAACATGACTTGTCACAGTATTTTCTCAGATCTACTAGTAAAGCTTTTGGGAAATAGGTCTTCCTTTCAATACAAGATTGTTCAACGTGCCATTCCATCAGCACAGAGATTCTTAGCCTAATTCTCAAACCTTCCTCGGGAGATGCCTCATTACAGCTCGAGTTCTAATTCCCTTCGACTCAAACAGCACTGTACAGAAAGCAGTTCATGCCCACGCTTAGTAAGGGAGAGGCATGAGGGTACAGGGAAATGCCCATTCTTTTGTTTTGGTGGCAGAAGCAGCAAAAAATAAAGGTTCGCTGAAGCCATCTGCACCTGTCCCCACCTATCCCAGCCCTGAAGAACACTTTAACCCACCCGCTGCTCAAGACTCTTAGCTCATGAGGTCTGCAGCACACACGTCTCAAAGATGGGCAGGCAACGCTGTGTGCTTCGGGATGCTGACAGAAAAAGAGGGAGGGTACAAATCCTTGAGGACGGAGGGGCAGACACGGCGATGCATCCACACTGGGAGGATAGGACGCGCCCCGGAAGCCAGGCGGCTTGCAAATTCGTAGGGAGAAAAGCCCCACGGAGCGGACAGAGGATGGTGGACCGAGGGACAGTGCTCCAGAAGGGAAGAGCGGCATACACGCAGGAGACTCGAGAGGGCGTGAACTAGGAAGCTCCGGACTCGGAATCCAAAATGGGCAGAAAAGCGCGAAGCTGAGACTTACGGTTACTTCTGCAGCTGAGGGAGAGGGTCGGATGGACCCCGCTGGTGTGCAGTTCTGCCTTCGTCGCCGCCACCCCTGCCCCTAGCCGGTGACCTCGGGTACCCTCCCCGCCCCACCCACCAGGACGGCGCCCCTTCTCCGCCGGCCCAGGTGCACCCGCGGGCGGACGCCGCTGGAGCCGAGGGTGCGCACAGAGGGCCCGCGCGAGCCGAAGACACCACGCCGAAGCTCAGACAGAACCGGCGCCCCCCATCCTTCTCCGGCCGCCGCCGCCGCCTCTCGGGGGAGGGGAAGAGGGGGCGGTGGCTCTTGCCTCCGCCTCGCGGTCAAGTCCAGCTCATACTCCAGCTTTGCGCGCGCGCAGCCCCTGCCGCCCTCCTCCCCTCCCCTGCCTGGGGTTCCTTAGCCGACTCTCCCGCCGCCCGTCACAACCCCACAGAGCCTGAAGCCCCAGCAAATAACAGCAGGAACAGCGGCACCTCAGCTGCCGACCCGGAAGTTCTTGCGCCGTCAATTGCGAGGCTGCAAAGGCTGTGAACCCGGAAGCAATTTCCTCGCCCCGGTAACGGCAGGATGGAAAGCTGAGGCCTTTGGAAAGACTCGGGTTCTCCTAGTTTCTGGAGAGGGTGGAGGGTAGCTAGTGCTGAGGCAGGAGGAAAGGAAAGGACAGTAATAAAGAGCTGGTGCGCGAGAGTTTCTCCGACTGCAGAGAAACCCGCGCTCTCCAGGCGCGGGGCTGAGAGCACGGCGGCACACGCCCGGCGGCTGCAGTGGCCGAGGGTCTTTCCGCCACAGGAAGTTGGGTCGGGCCGCTGTGCCTGCGAGCAAGGCAGGAGGAATGGGAACACGGTGACGGCTCTCGTCCCCAGGTGACTGTCCCACTCCGTGAGTTAATGTAGCAGCCCAAGAGAAAGCCGGCCGCCCGCGCGCCCGCCTGGGTGCGACCGCTCGGTCTTCTCGGCGGCACCGAGGAGAAGCGAGATCCCGACTCGGGTGAGAGAAGACGGAGGTGGGGACCGAACCGTCGCATGTCTGCTCGTTCTAGACGTAGCTACCGAGAGACCCAAGTCACCTGTGAGCCAGGAAACTTGCCGTTTCCCCGGCGTGCATGTTGATGGGGGGCGGCGGCGAAGGAAGCGGATCCGTTTTCTACATGCGTGGCTTTTTGTTTTGTTTTTTAGATTGCTCAGAAGTCTTTTATCTTGCTAGCCTAATTCAGAGTATTACCTCCATTCCTTTCCACTCCAGGGGACCATCCAACATAGTAAAGTGCCCGTGGGCACTACATGACAACCCAGAACGCTCTGCGGATTTCCACCTGTCCCCGACGGGTACCACGCCCAGTGGTCAGAGCTGCTTCCCCCGCCGTGTCCCTTCTACTTAGGATATTGACACTTAGGCTTGAGCATCTCCAGTCAGGCAAAACCCATCTAAACATTTCAACCTCTAGATACATTTTTACTGTTCTTAGCTCAAGTTGCACTCACCCAAATCATTTTTGTGTGTTTCTGCCTTAGCAGCCTTCGTGTACTAGTTTTTACTATTTTTCTTCCATAAACCTTTATTTCATTCTTTCGTGTCGCTGAAAGAATGTATATTTCAAATAGTCAAGTATGTCTGACTATCGAAAATCAAATTTAAGAGTCTTTTGGGGATGTTTTAACATGACATGATTTTTAAGAAAAAAAAAAAAATACCGTAAGTGATGAGCATTAACAAGTAAAGCACTTTGCTAATAGATGTTTTTTTTGCATGAGTTGGTCAAGATAGGAATTGATTTGCTTTAAATTATGTTTGGAAAACTAAGAAGTACTAAATTTCTCTTTTTAGATGCTGTACAGAAAACACTGCTCCTGTAATCGTGCCATGTGTATCATTCAGTGTTTGCACAATACAATGTCTTTTCTAGAGAGCTTGCAGTCTTTAAGGAGGCATCCCTATATCTCATAATTTGTAGTTTCACCATGTTTAAGTCATTGTTAATGTGAGGTGAAAAGTAATTGCTGAATCCTGAGATGGAAAAGCCCTCCTGTTCACATGATTTCAGAAGCCTTCGTGTATGGTGTGGGTCTTATGAATGGTTTTATGAAAAAACTGAACTGAAAAAAAAAAAAAAGAACAAAAACATAGAATGGGAATGATGTTCACAAACTTGAAACAAAGTTAAATGCAGGGGTCCTGACGTTTCACTGTAGTTTCATCAAGTGAAACAAAATTTCTATGGACTTAAATCAATGAAAATTTTTAGAGTTTAAAACAGATTGTAAAATTATTTAAATTATTTTATTTAAAACAAAAGATATACAGTAATTTTAATAGTTATGGTCTTAAGCTAAACATTTTTTAATGATACCAGAAGTTACTGGGTTTTAAATGAATTCGATTTTCTTGAAATTTTCCAATAAGCCATTTTTGAATTATTTAGGAAAGTGAATTAAGGATTCTAAAGTGACATTATCAATTGCAGTTGAGAAAACTGAATAAATTACTCTATCTTCTCAAATAACATTCAAAACCCTTTCTTGAAAATGGTCTTTTTTTCCTCTTCTGAGAGTTGGAGCAATAAGGAACTCATTAAGTATGAATGGCCCGTTTAAATGTCTTATGGGGTGTAAAAAAACTGATGAAAGTTCATGTCAACATGGCTAGGAAAGAAATTCTGTGATATTCTTTTAGAAATTACTGGTGTATCACTGAGGAGACCCTTTAAAAACAAGAAAGGTAAATAAAAGATACTCAGACAGGTGCTTTTTAGACTAGCCATGAAAAAGTTTGTAATAGCATTTACCAAAGGGATCATTGAACAAGCAAGAGTGTGGTTAAAACATGGAGACTTGAAATTAGTATAGGGACATAAATTTGTGTGTCTATTTACATAGACACACAAAGTGAGTATATTTGGAAGATAAAGTTTGGATTATCTAGAGAATTGATAAGGGAGATGGAAAAGATTCTTAAATCATCGTCAGAAAGTTCTTATCAACTGACCAAATGGGTTTTGGTTCTACAGTAGGCACCTCCAAAGAAAATGAAAAACTCTACATTAGCCAATAAAAATGCCTAATATCTAAAGATTTGGAAGTAAATATCCATGGATATTAAGCAGCTAGCTACTTCTAACTTCCAAATAGCATTGTAACATTCACTTATGTAATATGTGAAAAATAAGTATGCATTATTCTGAATCACTATTTCAAGTCACTATTTACAAGATATTTTATAATAATATTACTTTTTAAGCTCCAAAAACAGATTCTTACCCTGCAGTAAAGACAGCTATGAAAATACGCATTCCCATTTTAAAATGTTTTTTACCTTTAATGGAAAAGGAATAAACAGAATACAGGGGAAAAAAAATCTCAATTTAGAAGCTAAGGTTTTGAATAGTTCAGTAATATAAATCCAGTCAAAGTCATCTCTGGCTGGTTTTTCAAAGTGATTATGTGGAAATAATAGTTGTAGATTGGGATATAATACTGTATTTTTTTTTACCTTGCCACCGATTGTGCCATTTAATTTTCCAAGGAAATATTTGTTTGTCTTATAAAGCAATGGGAAACCCAGAAAACATAGAAGATGCTTATGTTGCTGTTATTCGTCCAAAGAATGCTGCCAGTCTCAACTCTCGAGAATACAGAGCTAAGTCCTATGAAGTGAGAAAATTTGCTAATATTTGATTTCTGCCAGTGAATGTCACTCTGTACTACCATTTCAGATAAAGCCTTACCATATGCTGTAAATTAATAAATTGACAAGCTAGTTATCCTAGATCTTTTATCGCTTTTTTCTGCTGCATGCCTTTTGCCCATTTGCTATTCATTTACATATGTAGGTTATTAGAAACTAAAAGTTTCTTATTTGCCTTTTTCTTACAGTTTATGTACTTAGATGTTTGTACAATTTATAGAATGGCTTGAAAATTTAAAAATATTCAAAACTCGGCTCACTAAAAATTTTAATACAGAGATTGAGCTTGGTTATTTTCAAATTATGTTTAACTTTTTTGTTTAAAAATTATCATTTAAAATTATCTTTTTGCCTTAATTTTTAGTCTTGTATTACGTACATATACTAGTAAACATATAATTGAGACAGATTTCTAGCACTGTTGAATACTTTTAATCTAAATACTTTCAATGCTAATTTCTCTAGCATTTTCTTTCAGTTGTTTTTTTTAAGGTTATCTGAAACCTGTTAATGGGTATTGCAGGGGTTCTCACAAGGGTGGTACTTCAACAGTGCTCTTGCTTACCATTTCTCATTCCTGGCTGCACTAACTTTCTCTTAATACTATTTTCCACATCTAAGATTTTGTTGCATGAAGTTCCCATTGAAGGACAGAAAAAAAAGAGAAAGAAAGTTTTGTTGGAAACTAAACTTCAAGGCAACAGTGAAATAACACAAGGCATATTGGATTATGTAGTAGAAACTACCAAACCAATTTCTCCTGCAAACCAGGGTATCAGAGGTAGGAAACTTGTTTTCTCTTCTTTACTTCTGTCTTTTCAACAATTTGCTTTAAATACTTGTGAAGGAAAATATTTTTCAAAATATGTTAAGATGATTTCCTTTTATGTTACTTTCCATTTTTGAAATGGAAAAGACTCAGTTTTTCAAGCTATAGCCAACCTTCTTTAAGAAGTAACTTGACTGTATTTCTTCTCATTCTTTAATTAGTATATATTGTACAAAATGGTTTCATTGTGATATTTTCATACACGTATATTACGTATATATACACATTTACCACCACCATTACCCTTTCTTGACTGCCCCCCTACTAGTCCCCTTCCTCCTCCCAAATATCAACTGTATATATATATTTTTAAAACCTGAAAAGCATTCAAAGAAATCATAGTGTTAATGATATGTTTAATGGAAAGACAGGGAATACAAATGACTTTTGCTTGAAGTACAGTTTTCTACGTAAGTATCTTTTATTTATTATTATTTTTCCAAGACAGAGCTAGAAACATTTCTATATAACTAAGTAAAAGCTAATATTCATGAATTAGGAAAAATCCTTCTAAGTAGCCAGGTAGCAAAGATTTTCCTCTCATTTAGTCATAGGAAGAAGATCCTTTTCAAAGAACCAAACTGAGTTGTAGAAATAATTAGCCTAAAAGATTGAAGCAACACTTAAAATACTAAATAATATATACCCTGTGAAAGTGCTTAAAAATTAATGATCCATTTTCTCAGGCTATAGCCTCATAAGGAGCAGACAGTAGTCAAAAGTTACAGAGAATTTTAAACTATGTCCAAGTCAAACATTATAATTTTAAAAAGGTAATGCTTACTTCAATCAGCAGTTGTAAACAGTTGTGAGGCAAAGAGTACTTCTGTGCCTAGTCTGATAAATCTGTTTCAGCACTCAATGGTTACAGAGATACAGTCATATCTTGTGATTTTATGTGTTAGTTTTTTTGGATATTTGTTCTCTAGACATAACATAGC